GGCGGGAGCCGCGAGGCCCGATGAGAAGGTGGACAGCGGAGGGGGGGGGGGAGGGTGGCGGGCGAGGCATGGTGGTTTCTGCACGCTCAGTCCGATGCAGGCACGGTACAAAAACAAACGCAAAAAAAGAGCACCCAGTTCGATATACAGATGCACGGCGAAGCACATGAGCTGCACATCTGCACACAGCCGGGGGCGTAGGTGGCCGCTGATGCACGCACAAAAATGTAGGAAGCTCTTCCTTGCAACTTCATCCCAAGGACCGGCCCTGGGTTAGTCTTACGCACCCCCGCACCCTGTGTCTTGTTTTCGCGATCGCGAGGTTAAGCTAAGGTTAAAACAGGACCTCATTTTCCCCAAAACCACCTGGTGAGTTCAGTGGTTGAGCCAGAAATCTGAGTTTCTCAAAGGCAAACCACACATGTTGTTTGCTGTGCTGTGACACCTTAGTTGAGTTGGGCACGCATAAACAGTTTTGCACCCATGGGAGCAAGCAGACACCACAGCAAATTGGAGATGGAGGGATAAATGTGTGCATAATTACATACATACATACCATGAACTGTGCACCTGCTCCAAAGTGTAAGTGCCCAAATAACATATATTGTATGTGCATTTGTGTAGTGTAAATATTCTGTTCTCTCAGTGTATGTTGCACGGTTGTCATAGGTACACATTACAGTATATAGATATAAGGATGCAGCCCCCACAATAAACATGTAAAGGTACATCTCTGCAGATCTATCTACAAGGATACTCTCTACATAAGCACCCAGATTCATATACAGATGTGGGTCTGTCTATAGAGATATTATCTACATAAATACAAGCGTGTAGGCAAAAATAATCAGACAAAGAGGTAAGGCATATATGGCTGAATTTGCATGGACGCATGCATTGGTGAGGTACAGATACATATACTAAATAAGCTTGTTCCTTAGACACCAGGGCTTGAGCATTGCCTTGGCATTGGGCAAAGATTACCAGTGCTGTCCTCTGAAGATGCCAGCCACAGAGACTGGCGAAACGTTAGGAAGAACAACCTACAGAACACAACCAAAGAGCTGAAAAACCCACAACAACCATTATCAGAAAGATTTAGAAAAGCTTCACCAAGGGATGGAGTAATAGCAAAGGATTACCTTGCTTGCCTGATGTCACTTTCAAGCGAGAGCAGGTGGAGATTGCATGGAACTTCGTGGTTGTTATGTGCCGTCAAAGTCACTTCCAAATTCTGACAACTGTGCCGTCAAAGTCACTTCCAAATTCTGGCAACCCTAATAGAACTTCCATGGTATGTGAGATGTTAAAAGGAGTGCTTTCTCATTGCCACAGCCCCAGTGGGTTTTCTGTGGCCAAATAGGGATTTGAATCTAGATCTCTTGAAATATATCCCAATAAAATGCAACAGAATTAGGAGGGAATCTTTGCTCCTCTAGATGTTTGGACTGAATTTCCCAAAGTCCCTTAATGTGGAGTATTGAGTGGGGGGCCACCAGAGTTATAGCCCAAAATATCTGGAGGCCAAAAATTCCACTCCACCGCCATGTAATTTTTGGCAAGGAAATCCCAGGGGTATGAGTTTCAATCTGCAGTTTGAATGGATCTCTCAGGCTGCAAAAGAAAGGTTGGTAGAGCACCTGCTCCCCATGTAATTGAGCCTAGGTTTAATCGCAGGTCTATCTCCAGATAAGGGATGTGGTGGCGCTGCAGGTTAAACTGCAGAAGTGTCTGTGCTGCAAGGTTGGAAGACCAGCCATCGTAAGACCAAATCCATGCAACGAAGTGAGCTCCCATTGTTTGTCCCAGCTCCTGCCAACCTAGCAGTTCAAAAGCATGCAAATGCGAGTAGATACAGTAAATAGGTACCACCACAGTGGGAAGGTCACGATATTCCGTGTCTAGTTGCGCTGGCCACGTGACCATGGAAACTTGTCTACAGACAAACGCTGGCTCTATGGCTTGGAGACAGGGATGAGCCCCACGCCCTAGAGTCAGACACGCCTGGACTAAATGTCAAGGGGAACCTTTACCTATATCTCAGGCTGGCATAGGCTCCTGGTTGGAAAAGTAGGGAACATCCCTGCCAGTCCATGTAAGCAAGAGTGAGCTAGATGAACCAGTCAGTTGTTTGAGATGAAGCAGCTTCCTGAGCTCTTTTTAAAGCAGTAAGTTGAAGCTCAGAGGAAGATGGGAGCTGCATGCTGTATGCCCATACTCTGAAATAAGGTAAAAATAACATATTATCCTGATTAGCTGTTATTTACCACTAAACATTGCCTCAGCCTCAGATACTCTTTGTTCCTTACAATTCCCCCTCTCAATGTTTATGGCACCTGCATGTACTACTATAAGCTATCCGATTCACCCTCAACCAGCTTTTCATCTTTATCCTTCTACATGTTCCCTAATCCGTTCATCATATGGTAGAAGGCAGCTGAAAAGCTTAGTGGGCTTGGAGCACCTTTTCTAAAAGGAAGCACTGTTAAAACATAAGGGCTTTCCTAATCTATAAAAGAGATTAAGGGAGGCTAAGGGGAGATATCAAGGGGTTGATAAAATGATGAATGATGTAGGACACTAGACACACTCTCTCCCCCTCTGTGTCTGGTTTTTTGTTTTTTTTTTGCCTTTGCCTTTTAGGTAAAGGTGAGAAATGAGAATTCTCCAAATCTAAATGGAAGTTGACAGTTACCCAACCCTGTTTCAGATGTTAAGACTCAGGGTGGGCAACCCAATTTGCTGTTTCTCTCTCTTTCTTGCAGTCAGCTCCAGATTCAGGCAGTGGCCCTCCTCCTGGGCAGCCGGCTCCCTTTCCTCCTGCCCCGCCACCGCCGCCAATTCTGCCTCCTCCCTTTGTAAGTTAATTGATGTCAGTGTGTTTGTTTATCAGCATCCCGGCCATTTGGCCTTATGCGGAAGATGTAGGTGATTAATGAAGAGTTCAGGTTGCCTTTTGCAGATTTTGAGCGTGTGTGAAGATAGTAAGATGGTTGGCTCCCTTCTACACAGTAAACAGCAACAGATGCTGGGGATTGGCCCATTAATTAAAAAAACTGGTGGTATTTTTGTCCCCCCCCCCCAAATATAAGAGAATAGATGATTCTGGGCCTGAGGAACGTACAGTGTAAGATTTTGCACATGGGAAGTAGAGGGTGGCCATGGAACAAATGCTTTCTCCCAGGAGTTTTTCTCTGGGTGTGGGTGGGGAGATAGGGCAATTAATGTATTGTCAATTACATAAATTACTACAGTGAATCTATAGCATATATAGGTCTTAATATGAAACCTCCTAAAGAGCCAGTTCACAAAAACCAAAAGGAGCATTCTGGTATTTTCTCCTGGGAAAGATTTTTGATTTTATCTATATTTTTCCTCACATACATTCCTCTCTGAGAGATAACTACATCTTGCAGGTTGTTTCCCCAACTTCTGACTGGAATAGTACTTTTGGGAAGACAGCTAGAACCCAGTTCTGTTCTTGCATTTCTCTTATGAGGCTGTAGTCCCGAACTGCTGTTGGTAGAACATGGGCTGATTACCATCTTGCAGACCTCAGTCTGTTAATTGTCTATGCTTTGGTGCAACTTTCTGTTAAGGTGTCTTGTTGCTGTGTTGAGAGATTAAAAGTGCCCTGTAAAAGTGCCCAATTAATTCCTCTTTGAAAGAGGCCCAAAATATGCTCTGATAAATGGCAGCTGTCTTGAGTAGATAATATGGTTGAGGAAATGGTTATGTCTGTGCTTTTTTCCCCTTGTTTCTAGATGCCTCCTCCTGGGATCCCGCCACCATTCCCCCCAATGGGACTTCCCCCGATGGGACCACGCCCACCCCCTATGCCACCCATGCCTCCCGGCATGATGCCGCCTCCCCCCTTGATCCCGCCCATGCCTGGACCACCACCCTTGGGACAGGTAGTGCTTGCTTGCAGATTTTTAAAATTTCCTATTGCATTGGAAATTTGCTATTGCATTGGAAATTTGCTTTCCTAATGCATTGGCTTCTATTTGCCCCCAGATGCCTACAATTGTGCCACCAATGCTGCCTGGGATGATGATGCCTGGAGTACCAGCTGGCCCGGTTCCTGTCTCTGCAGGGGTGAGTGTCTGGGAAGGGGTGTGATTTAAGTGGTTGTACTCTCCAAGAAGAGAAGACTCCTTGGAAAAGACCTTGATGCTAGGAAAGTGTGAAGGCGAGAGGAGAAGGGACAACAGAGGATGAGATGGTTGGACAGTGTCATCGAAGCAACCAAGATGAATTTGACCCAACTCCGGGAGGCAGTGGAAGACAGGAGGGCCTGGCTTGCTCTGGTCCATGGGGTCACCAAGAGTCAGACACGGCTAAATGACTAAATGATGATGATGAGTCTAGGGCAGGGCCGGAGAAAAATTTGGCCCAAGAGGCTTTCTGATTTGTAGATTTGAGAAGGGCTGGGGGAGTTCTCATTGCAGCAGCCTAAAGACCAAGGACACACTGTCAGGCCATAGAATCATAGAATAGTGAAGTTGGAGGCCATCAAGCGCAACCCCCTGCTCGATGCAGGAGTACAAACCAAAGGATATCTGCCAGGTGGTTGTCCAAGTTTCTCTTGAATGCCTCCATAATGTCTTAATAAAACACAGGAGGCATTGTAATTCTTACTAGTGGAGATGTTTTTCTACTAGCTGTACAGAGGAGATCTCAGTCCTGGGCATGCCTGCTCAGAGGCCGTACCCACTGCAGCAGGTTCCCAGGCTGCAGACCACAACTTGGTTCCGAGCGACACCTTCTTGGTTTGCAAACAGGAGGTTAGTGCAGGGCAAAAAATCAGAGCTCAGGCTTCTTGGCCTCTGAACTGGAATCGAGTTTCATTTAACAGTATCCTGGTCTGCAAATCAGAGTTAAGTTTGGGGGCACTAATTGCCTCTTGCTTCTGATTGCTGATTGGAGGTAGTAGGAGAAGAATCTGCTCTGAAGCTGGATGTTTGACATTCCCCGTGTAGGATGCGGATGCCAGAAATAGCATTTGTAATGAGGGATTTGGTGTTATGTGTTGATAAGAGCAAGAGGGCCCCTTGATCTTGGCTCTGGCGTCAGTTGCTGCTTCCTTCTCTGGGACTGGGGTGCTGCCTGGCTGTAATTTGGTGTGGAAGTAGTTGTACATACATTGTTGCAGTCACAGAAATGGGGCCACAGAAATCTATGTCATTACTCTATTAATTTTCCAAGATGGTTGCCCTGCTCCTGGAGTGGGGGCTTTCCCATTGGTGGCTGCTTGGGTCCCCAAGCCGTAGGTTGTGTTATCAACTGGGCACAGGGAAGTCATGCAGCATCTGCCTGCCTCTGATGTAGCATGTGTGTGTGTGTGTGTAAAAGAGATTAACTGTGTGGAAAGAGATAGATGTATTAAGGCCTTATTAAATGTGACAAACCCGGGCAACACAAGTCTTTTTTTTCCCCCAAGACTACTTTTCCCACAAGTAAAGCTGCTTTGAGAGAGAGGAAGTGGTAGAAAAGCAGTGGGTATTTGTTGCCCACCTTTTCCTCTCTGCTTCCTCCTGGCCCGTCCTGGCACCCGATCCATTGCACTGAAAGCAAAGGAGGCTTACAAATTCCATCCGGTGTTGGGTGGAGCCGAGACCCAACTCAAGGTTTTGTTCTGATTTCTCTTTCACAGGCAGCTCCTGTGACAGACCCATCCAGTGGTAAGTATCCCAGAGGATGCGTCTCTGCATATATTTTAAGTGCATCCAGGTTAGCATCTGCATTTGTGTGAAAAATCAGATGCACAGAAGGAATGGGCAATTTGTGGCCTTGAACGTCCGGGTCCTAGGAACCACAGCCAGTATAGCTGCAGCCCATCAGCAAAGGGAGAACCCATCCCCTCACTGTAATCTAGAGCAGTGGTTCCCAACCTTCGGTAACCCTGGTGTTCTTAGACTGCAACTCCCAGTCCACGGCTGGTGGTGAAGATTTCTGGGAGTTTCTCCAAGAATACCAGGATTATCCAAGGTTGGGAACTACTGATCTAGAGAATCATGCTGCTTACTTCCCCTCAGTGGCAAAGGCTGCCTGCCTTCTTACAGGTGTCATGCTTTGCAAGCACCCGGCAGCCATAGGCTTTCCCAGCGTGGAAGTCTGAATTGGCAGTAAAAGTCAAATTTCTTTTTGCTCAACTACAAAAAGCACACAGCACTTTTAATTCTCTGTGTGTGACAGTGTGAGTGATTGCTCATGGACTACCCTTCAGAGGCTAGTCCAGGTGAGATCCTTGTTAACACACTTGCATTGTTACTGGAAAACTGATTTTCATTCCTGGGAACACCAGCCTTTTGAGCAGAGCTCAGAAACATTACGCTTCAAATGAAAGCTCCCACACTTAAGTGGCCAAGCTGGTTGAGGGAATTTTGGAAGCTTCAGGCCAAAAGCACAGTGTTCCCAGGCTCTGCTCACTGGTTTTTCGCTCTCCTGACTCCCAACCCCATTGGCCTGCACAATTAGCAGTGTCTTCTCCTCTGAGGTTCCTGGAGTGGCCATCACATCTCGTCCTGATCTCTCTTTTTGACTTGCAGCCACTGTTACCCAGGCAGCACCGGTGGTGAGTAGCCCGACTAGATGTACTTGGGTTTTTTGGGTGGTGGTGGTGGTGGTGATGAAATGTCCAGTCATTGCTCTTTTGCTGTGAGGAATCCAAATGCTCTCCTTCAGGGTGTCACTTCTGTGTTGAGGTTGCCACCTGTGCTCAGGCTGCAACACTTTGGTACCAAGGCAGATTTGGTTCAGCTGCCAACTAGCACAGTTTGAATGAAGGTGATAGTTTTGTGGGACATGTGGGCCAGAAGGATAGTGACTGGGACAGCCTCTGTAGTTGGTGAGGGACATGGCTTGTGGGAAGGGTCACAGTTTAGTGGTGGAGCTCATGTTGTGCCTGCAGAAGGCCTTAGGTTAGGACTGTAGTTTTAATTTCCTGTGCAAGCAAAGTGATGCTCAAAAGTGTAGCAGCGAAGGCTTTTTTACCTTATATGGAGTGAGAAATGCCTGATGTTCAAGCTGGATTTTGAAAAGGAAGAGGCACTCAAGATGATATTGCAAATATCATCTGGTTACTGGAGCACACCAAACAATTTCAGAAGAGGATCAGTCTATGCTTTATAGACTACAGTGGTACCTTGCTAAATGATGACCCCGCTAAATGATGAATCTGCATGACGATGACTTTTTGCAATTGCTATAGCGATTCGCAAAACAGTCATTTCTAGGGGGATTTTCGCTGGATGTCGATTAGGTCCATGCTTCACGAACAGTTTGTTCGCAAGACGACGATTTTTTCGGTTTGGCAAATGGCTGCCCTGTGTTTTCCAGACCCATGCTTCGCAGGGCAGCCATTTTTACAGCTGATCGGCGCTCGCAAAATGGCTACCCTATGGGCGATCTTCACTGTATTTTCCCCATTGGAATGCATTAAACCGGGTTTCAGTGCATTCCAAAGAGGAAAGGGTTTTAACATGACGATGATTTCGCTAAACAGCAATTTTCATGGGATGGATTATCGTCGTCATGCGGGGCACCACTGTATAGCAAAACCTTTGATTATGTGGGTCATAAGAAACTATGGGCTGTTCTGAAAGAAAGTAACATGCCTCAGCACTTGATACATAACCTGTATTGTGAACTAGAAGCTAATGTTAGAACAGAACATGGACAAAGAGGAAGATTTCTCATAGGCAGAGGTCTCAGACAGGGTGCCTTTTATCCGCTTATGTATTCAATCTGTATGCAGAACATATCATCTGGAAAACCAGATTAGATTCAGATTAAGGAGGAGTGGAAACTGGAAACTGGTGGAAGAAACATCAGTAAATTAAGATATGCAGATGACTCCATCTTAATGGCAGATCGCAGCAATGACTTAAAGTGACTTTTAGTGAAAGTGAAAGAATAAAGTGCTAAAGCAAGACTGCAGTTGAATGTTAAGAAAACCAAAACCATGACTACAGAAAAAATTACAAATCTTTAACATTGACAATGAAGACATTGAAATAGTGAGATATTTTGTATATATCGGTTCAATTTTCAATCTACAGTAAATGGAGATTGCAGCCAAGAAATCAGAAAAAGACAGAGACTCGGAAGGAATTAGAAAATATAATCAAGTGTAAGAACGTGTCACTGGGGACCAAGACCATCCGCACTCTTGTATTTCCAATCGCCATGTATGGGTGTGAAAGCTGGACAGTTAGGAAGACTGACAGGAAAAGCAATAATTTGTTTGAGTTCTGGTGCTGGAGGAGAGCTTTGTGGATAACCTGGACTGCCAGAAAGACAAACAAGTAGGTCCTAGAGCAAATCAAACCTGAAGTATCTCTGGAGGCAAAAATAATGAAACTGAGGCTGTCCTGTTGTGGACACATCATGAGAAGGTGGGATGCTCTAGAAAAGACAGCAGTGCTGGGAAAGACAGCAGGAGAAGAAGACGACCAGATGTGAGATGAATTAAGTCCCTAAAGGAAGCCACAGATTTGAGTTTACAAGAGCTAGGCAGGACTGTTGAGGAGATCCCTCATTCACAGGGTTACCATAAATTGTGGCAACTTGACAACGTGTAACAACAACAACCCCCTTAATCACTCCCCTTTAGCAGTTCTAGTTCAGGCCGATGAGAGTTGCAGGCCAAAAGCTACAGAGGAGAAACACTATTGCCCACCTCTGTATGTAGAAAATATTCAAGTAGATGGATCAAAAATAGAATAACATTTCTTGCATGATGCCACATGATGGAGTCGTGTGGTGTGGTGCCTTTGCCCCAGTTGGTGGTAGATAAAAAGGAAGTTTCACCTTTACAACCAATTTGCAGCACTGCAGTGGTTCTGGAGCAGGACATAGTTTCTGTGAGTTGTCATCTGAAAAGTAACTTTTTCTCAGTGGTCTAGTGCAAGGCATGTTCTTGGTGACTGGATGTAGCTCCTTGACGGACTTGTAGGTCTAACCCTCAAAATAATGGGCTGATGCATAGTTCAGAAACAAACCTCCTTCTTTCCCCACTTCTGCCAAGATGCAGAACTGACTTTTCCCTTCTCTCTCCTTTTCTTGCTTTGATTCCCCACCCTTTGATTCCCTTTTAGATCCCGAACCCATTGACGGGTGCCATGCATCAGAATGTGATTGTTGGTGGCTCCTCAGTATCGGATGCAGGCCGGAAGGTAACTTTCTGAAGTTTGCGGCATCAGCAAATTAAAAGAAGGTTGAGCCTGTAAAATGAACTTCAGGGAGGGAAAACAGTGACATGCGTACACTTGCACCAGTCCCAAAACTTGGAATGCTTATCGGGTGCTCGGAACAAAATCCTGGGCTCAGGAGAACTCTGTGCATCTTTTGCATTCAGCTCCAGTTGGGAACATCTCAACTGGAGATGTAAGAAGAAACCAAGTAAACTTCTTAAGCCTGAAGTTTGTCCATCCCTGTTTCAGTTGTGCTATGAAGATATTGGTTGAAATCCAGCAGTATGCTGTGGTTAGAGTGGGCCCATTGAATCAAGGGAATTCGTTGAGTCAGTTCTAACTGTTATATTTTGTTATAATAATTAACATATTCCATATGTCTGAAGAAGTGGACTTGATCCATGAAAGCTCATATTATATAATAGTTTTTAAGGTCCGCAAGGGTTTTTTTTTTGTCTTTTTAAAGTATTTGTCCTTTTTTCCCTTTGGATTTTGCCTGATATTTCCGATGAGAGAGGAAATATCAGGCAAAATCCAATCCTGGTTTAATCCAATCCTTTCCCCTGCAGCATTGGACTTTCAAGAAGGACCAGTAAAAATATGTCCTAAAACAGAAACAAGGAATAAAGGAGGCTCCAGGGTGGGCTCAAGCACCATGGATTTAGGAGTGCTGTGAGAGAGCAAGATCCGTGTTCAGATCTATGGCTGCTAGAATCCAACAATCGTGCTGTCTGGAGGACTCTGGGAATTATATTCCAGGCAGCATCTTTTCCAACATCTGGAGCAAATAACCTGATAAAAACAAGGAACTTTTTTTTGGCAGAGTGAAAAGAAAATGATTAGTGTAGTTTGAGGGGCATTTTGTGGATGAAAAAGCTGTGTGTGTGAGTGCGCAGTGTGTCACCAAATCAGAACCAACTAATAGCAACCCTAATAGAGCTTTCAAGGTAAGTGAGATATTTGAGGAGCGGTTGCCACTGCCCCTCCCTTGTGAGTTTCCATGATGAGTAGTGATTTGAATTCAGATCTCCTGAGTCCTAATTAGTTACGCTATTCACTACACCATGTTGGGTGAAGAAGTGGGTGGGATGGTGATAAATGTGCTGCTTATTTTCTGAACCAAAGACCTTTTTAAAAAAGCATCATCAACAAAACTTTGAAGTTTGTGTAAATTCTGTAGAGTGAGAAATTGCACTGTGTTTCTGCTTGTCTTTCTTTTTCCTTCACTCTTATTTCTGGGTTGATGAGAAGAAGTAAATAATGATAAAATACCCTCTTCCCCACTCAAATCCTCTCACTGGGGGAAATTTTAGCAACCTTTCCTGTCTTGACTTCCACAGGATTTCTTCCAGATGTTTCCGACATGCTTTGAAGCCTGTCTCCCTATGTGTAAAGGATAGAAACTTGTTTTTTATTTAAAAAAAGAGAAGCGGATGGAGACTTGACTTACAGACTTTTTGACTTGAGAACCACCTTCCAATACGGATTAAGTTCTCAAGTCAAGACCCCACTGTATTTCTGGGTTGATAAGAAGAAGTAAATAATGATAAAAGACCCTCTTCCCCACTCAAATCCTCTCACTGGGGGAAATTTTAGCAACCTTTCCTGTCTTGACTTCCACAGGATTTCTTCCAGATGTTTCCGACATGCTTTGAAGCCTGTTTCCCTATGTGTAAAGGATAGAAACTTGTTTTTTATTTAAAAAAAGAGAAGCGGGTAGTCTCAAAATACAGGGTTCTGTACTCCGCACCAGTTTTTACTTCAGTTTGATTGTAGAAAATGAACATGATGATTTCTGTGCAGAATGAGAGCCAAAACCTTTTTATTTTATTTATCTTTCTCCTAAGAAACCTGCGTGGAGTGAGCACAGAGCTCCTGATGGGCGTGTTTATTACTACAATTCTGAAACCAAACAGTCCAGTTGGGAAAAACCAGATGAGCTGAAGTCCAAGGCAGAGGTAAGCACCCTGACTAAACTCGAGTGGTGAGGCAAGTAAGATGCCATACAAAGGGCTTGGGGGGGGGCGAGTGGTCTTGGCCTTTTTTGGGTTGTGTTTGAGAATAATGATAAGTGAGGGATGGGTGCCAAGAGAGAGCAGCAGCTTAGGGGTAACCTTAGCAACCCTGTGTGAGATTTTTCAGAATAGGCCCCAATAATGTACATTAACTTTACTCTCCTGCTCCAAGAATTAATTGAGGATGGTGGTGAAGAATGGGGAAAGGCCTGAAAACCTGAGTGGAGTCCTCTTTGCTATAGATATTTAAGCAGAAGCTGGATGGCCGTCTGTTAGGGACACCTGGAAAAGTTACCTTATGGCCTGGTCTTTGCTGACGTTCTGCAAGCAGGCAAAGACCTGTCTCTTCAACCAGGCTTTCTCTTCATGACTAGCTATCTGAGAGGGTGTGTTTTAAAACAGGGCCACTGTGTTTTCATCGCTTTTAATGTGTTGTTAGTACTTTTAAAATTGGTTATAATGTTATATTTTTTAAAATCTTTTTTTAGTATTTTTCTAATAATGTATTGCTTTTAGCATTTAATATTTTTCTTTTTTAATCTGGTAAGCCACCTTGGGTCCTTTTTAGGGGAAAGGTGGGATATAAAAATTCTGAATAAATAAGGAATAATAGAACTTCAAGGATCCTGGTGTCACGTTGCCATCCAAAGAAGTAAATTTTCTAGCTTTGCCCTCAGTTTTTTTTTCTTTTGAGCAAGGGGGATGTATATCGGAAGGATCCTGCTCCCTCCCTCCCTCCCTCCTTCGCTGTTTGCAGCTCCCCCTGCTTCTTTTCCTCATCTCTTCAGCTTTTGTTGTCGAGATGCCCCTGGCGGGAGTATCGCTCAGAGACTGGGAAGCCCTATTACTACAACACCCAGAGCAAAGAGTCGCGCTGGACCCGCCCGCGGGAACTTGATGACATTGAGGGTGAGGGTCTCTGGCTGCTGGGGAGGGGGAGGGTGAGGGTGGGAGGGGCTTGTGCGCCTCCCCCCCAAAAAAACCTACCAAGACAACCAACCCTTCCTTTTTTGTTTCCTCAGCACTGATCAAGGAAGAAGAAGAGGATGCAGAGTAAGTCCCGGTGGGAGAAGGCCTTGCGAGGAAGGGCCCTGAGGGACTATTGGAGCCGCGGGAAACTAGGCAGAGCCCTAAGCTGCACCTTTTACTGAGAGGACTGGGAAATGGAAGGAGGGCAAGAGGTGCCAGCGAAGGGCGGTTTGGCTTTCGTTCAGGGACCCACCTAGATGTTGGCTTGACTTCTTGGAGGGGGTCCTTGTATCCCATCTGTCCATGGCATTGCGGAATCTAGAATCTGGGTGCAGAATGAAGTTTTCCAGCAACTTTGAAAAGATACACGTGTGATTGTGTGTTAAAAGCACATTCTTGCCCTTATACACGTGTGATTGTGTGTTAAAAGCACACTCTTGCCTTTTTTGGTTGAGGTCTCTGGCTGCGGAGCCAGAGGTTGGGAGTTTGATTCCCTACTGTGTCTCCTAGACTCCGCGGAGTTTGATTCCCTACTGTGTCTCCTGGACTCCGCAGTCCATAGGGTCCTTTCCAGCTCTGCAGTTCTAAGATGATTATGATAAGCTGTGGTGAAAAGCTTGGCATTGTTTGGTGCCTCAGAGAAGTTCAGAACATAACCTAATGACCTTTCCAGAGTATTTGAAGTTGAGAGATTTCCAGACTCTGAAAAATGCTCCCAGTCCATCCACTTTACTTTCTCAGCCTCCTTCAGGAGATTTTATTCTCCTTTCCTGCTTCCAGCTATTACAGAGTTAGGGATGGGTGGGTGGGGGTTTCTGGTGTTTGAGGCAGAATAAATTGTGCAAATTAGAATGCGCTTGGTTTTGCTTTCTGTTTTTGCTTGCACTTGGTCCATCTGCCATTTCCCCCCCTTGCCCAGGAAGCAGCAGCAGCCTCAGCAACCAGAGACTCCGTTATCAGACCCCGCTAGTCCCAATCCATCATCTGCAGCCACCTCCGATACAGAAGGCACCCCTGCAGGTGAAGGACAGGAGACACCTGCCACCACAGAGGGGGTTCCTGGTGCAGCTGAAGAGGAGATCACAAGCAGGTGCAGAGCTTGTTAAAGACTTTTCTCCCCTCCAATTACAAGTCCCAGAATCCCCCAATAAGCACAGCCACTATCTGTGCTGGTCGAGAGTTTGTTGTTCAACTGAATTGTACAGTTCATAGGTCTACTATATCTATATCTATATATATGTGTGAGGAAGGGACTAGAAAGGTAGAACTAACACTTTTCTGATCTGTGGACTGGGTTTTCTCTGCGGATTGGAAGAGTGACTGCAGGATGAATGAGGTGATAACACATGATGGTGTTCTTTGAAAACAAGCAGTAGCTATCCAGTTTTGTGCAGGATAGAGCACATAACAGATTTCTGCTACCATAATTCTGTGCTGTGCATAATAGGAGTCTGATTAAAAATTCTGCTAGCAGCAGTTGAAGAAAGGAACTTTTAGAGGGAGAGGTGGTGATGGTGGAGGAGCTTTTAGTTCGTCTTCAGAGGCACCAATGCTCCAGTTTGGCTTAGAAGGGGAGGCAGACAGGATTCACTTTCCCACTCTATGGTGCCTTACGTGTAGCTTTGAAAAAAAGCTCTCAGTTCTACTTCACTAATATTATTAGGAGTATTATTCCTGTTAGAGTTCATGGACATTTCTGATTTTTCTCCCCACCAAATTTATGATTTGCATGCTGGATCAGGGTGATGTAGAAGTAAGAGTACATTTTGAAAGGAAGATCAAAATTCACCATGTTTGATAAACACTGAGTTAAACACTGGCATGTTCAGGGCTACGATCTGAGACAGTTTGTGATGTGGATGCTCCCATACTCCAGTGGAGATCTTTACAAAATGCATTTCCCATTTCTTTCTCTCTTTTTGTTTTAAACAATTATTGATCACTTAAAATTAGAAAAAGAACATAATCACTGAAATGGGATAGAATTAAGGCTCTTCTAAACTCAAAATTATAATATTTCAAAAAAGCAGGGGGAAGGTAGAGAAACAGGAAAATAGAAATATAAAAGTATCTATACATAGGATACCTAACATCTACAACCCATATGTTCATGTGTCAGTAACATTGGAAGGTCTTCTATCCCCTGTATTAATGCTGTTGGGCATCCATCCAATGTTGCAAAATAAGTGTGTTTTTCAGTTGTTAAGGGCACAGAGAATCCATTTACAGTGGCCAGTGAGTAATCTCCAAGAAGCAGGTATGTAATTTAAAAATACGTTGATAAGCATCAACAAAGATCAAAGACCGATCAGGTACAAAATTAAATTGGATAATAATGGGTTAGGATAGCTGGCGAGATAGTTAGGTTTCTGGCTGCAGAGCCAGAATTTGGGAGTTCTATTCCCCACTGTGCCTTCTGCGAGTAGAGTCAGTCTGTGTAGCCTTGGGCAAGCTGCACAGTCCCAGGACACCCCCAGAATAAGGGAATGGTAAACCATTTCATATTCTCTACCTGGAAAACCCTGGAAAAGGTCACCATAAGTCAGAATTGACTTGACAACACATGCTGATTTGTTATTAATAATTGGCAAGAAGATTTCCTATTTTTGGGCACAGATCTAGCAGTTCACACTGAGAACTTTGAATACATCCTTTATCGCACAGCCTTGTAAATACACTTAACAGAAGCAACAAGTCTTTCCAGCTCAGTAAGAGGCTAGTAGCCTGTGGAAATCTTCTCTCTGGCCAACACAGAAATATAAGATGCTAGCAGTTGGTAGGCTAATAGCATTCCAAAACTACCTATCGAGTCTGGTGGAGTGAATGGGAGGGTAATGAAAGATAGGCTTCCCTTCCTCCTTTGCCATCATTTAAACCAAGTCAACTGGCGAGCAAGGAGTGGAGAGATCTGTCCTTCCTGAGCAAGCCTGCCGACTCACTAGAGAGGAAGGCTGTGTGTGCTTCTCTAGCACAGAACCACCGCTTGCCTCCTGACATGTTTTGCTTTCTTTCTCTGGCCCAGTGGTGATCCTGTCCGGAAAGAAGAGGAAGAGCGTGTCACTGCTAATGCCTGGAGCAACAAGGAAGAAGCTAAACAAGCATTTAAGGAGCTGCTGAAGGACAAGGTACTACTGACAGGAAAGACTTCCAGGACAAGAGGGTCAGAGATCTCCTCTGGGACATGACTTCCAGTTTGTACAATCTCTAAAATGAAAAGGCTCTCCTTGGGACTGTATCCCATTTGGCCGCAATTCTTCCATCAGATGCCTTTCTGATGTGTTCCCATCATCCACGGCATAGCATTTGGTTATGCTGTTTGGGAATGATCAGGTGGTAATACAGCAGTTCCAGAGGGGGTGGGGACAAAGCTCTTCCTTGTTGCCACCTCCTCCTCTAAAAGGGTGGCCTGTCACACTGCTGTGTGTGTGTGTGGTTGGGCTTCACTTTGCTTCCCTCCTGCGATGGTGAGAGAACGTTCCTGAATGTTGTTCATGCAGATTAATCGGAAGAGCAGGAGGCCTGTTGCCTGGACGGGTACCATTTGGGCCAAACATAAAATTATACGCGATTCTTCTGACTGCCTCAGTTGGTCCTGAGGGGTGGGGTGCAGGAATCGGTGGTACTGCCTTGGTTGAAATACTGTTGTTCTCCGGCCGCAGGGTGTCCCAGCAAGTGCGTCCTGGGAGCAGGCCATGAGGCTCGTTAGCAACGACCCACGGTTCAGGTATGGTCCTGGGCTGAAACGTTTAGCTCCCACCCTACTTCACTTCTCATAAATGTGAGCCCAGCTTATAGTCCTTTGAAATTACAGTTCTGGATTCTTTCCCCACGGTGTCAGAAATACTTAGGCTTGACCCCACCCACCCACCTAGCCTCCTGTGTGTAGCTGGGAATCCTTCAGTCGCCTAACACCCCTCCCTCTGCCAGCTAGTACTCTCCCCCCCCACTGCTTTTTCTTCTCCCTTGCCCGTGAGTAGAAACACCAGCACTCTGCAGACTCTTGACTCTCTTGCCCTGTTTGTCCCAGTGCTTTGCCTAAGCTGAGTGAGAAGAAGCAGGCCTTTAATGCCTACAAGGCCCAGCGGGACAAAGAGGAAAAGGAAGAGGCCCGCCTCCGGGCCAAGGAAGCCAAGGAGGAGCTGCAGCGTTTCCTGGAGCAGCACAACAAGATGAACTCCACCACACGCTACAGGTAGAGGAGACCACAGGAGTCATGAGCGGACTGCTCCCTGCCTTGAGGCCCTGGGCATCCGGGTCCCTGGCTTTTACCCTTTTCTGGCTCTCTGGTATCACTCTTGCTCTGTCAGGAGTCCAGTCCCCTGTGAGGTGAAGCTTCTTAAGGAGGTACCTGAGGGACATGTATGCTTCTTCCTGACCCTGTTTCAGATTTGTCTGGATTGCTACTAGGAAGGGAAGGTGCTGATCCATGCTTGCCTAAAATGATGGCGCAGCCCTTCTTGCCTAGTCATACTGGTTTAAGTATAATTTTTGGAGGCAAATTGCCTTACCTTAAGAAATCTCTGTGGACGTTTCTTGCAAAGTGACCTGCGTGATTCAGCAACTGATAATGCCTGCTGTGTGGTTTCTTAACTTTGGGTCATTTTCCTTTAGAAGTTCTTCCATTTGTGTAGCTGTGCCAGGAGATTTTGGCCAGTGACAATAATTAAGAGATTGAGAGTCATTGTAGTGTAGTGGGTAAAGTGACAGACTAGGACTCGGGAATCTCTCTGCTTGGCCATGGAAGCTCACTGGGGGAACGGAGCTGGTTAAATCGCTCTGTACATCATCTCGCCTACTTTGAAAACGTGTTTAGAGTTGCCGCAAGTGAGTCGTGACTTCACTGCACGTAACAAAACCACGAAGACATTAGGATCAAATCAAAACACATCAAACAAAAATACGTCAGGTCAGAACAGAGGCAAAAGAGATGCAACAGAGGTGCCAAAAGCCTGTGTGGATGTAAAAGGCCTTGCCTGCTGAGGGGAGGGCAGCAAAGATGGAGCTGCTGCCCGGCTGGCCTGTTTCTAGAGCCTGGGAGCAAAGCACAGAGAAGGCTGTGGAAGGCTCCGGGCTCCCCGCGGGGGCTGACAGGAACAGAAGACCCAATAGAAATTGAGGGAGGGGGTGCTTTCCAGTGGAGTCCCTGCCCCCCCCCCCAGAGCTGGGCTGTGTTTAGCTGGTATAGGGAGCACAGGATAAGCTGGAACG